TGAAATTCAACGAGCAGTCCTGATTCATTCAATCATATCTCAGCACATACGACTCCAATTCAAGTCATTCCAAATCCATCTGAAAGCCAAGATACCAGGATATAATTCTTATGAAGACATTGAAAACCAAATCAGTAGTATTCCTGGTCAAACTAGCCAATTACAGAAGCTAATTATCATGTTAGGACAGAAACAAGGCAGCAGGGGTATTTCGGTCGTTTCATAGGCTACATTACTCCGATTGGGTTGAAATGTTGTAGGAAACTATAAAAAATCATTCTCTACAACTTTTATGTTTTAACCCAAGGCTAATTCGGCCTCTAACCTGCTCAAATAAATTCGGACAGAATAGGCCTGTTTGAAACCCTAACCTGGAAATTTCGCCCCAAACCAGAATTTTTGCACGATCAATCATATCCAACATATATCAACTCCATTTTACACAATAAATAACCAACAATCCATGACTAACCAACACTAAACATATGAAATCAGAAAAATCAAGCATAAAAATAAAAATCCATCAATTTTCACCACAAGTCATGAAATCATCCAAAAAATCACTTATTCAACTACCACAAGGCACCAATTTAGCATTATCATGAACAAGGAAGAATTTCTTGGCTACTCACCTTGTAAACTCAAGAAAAGAAGCAACTTAACACCTTTCCTTCTCAAGCCACTTCACCAATCACCGTAATCCTACCAAGAGAAAGGTTTTTATGGAGCAAATCCAAGTTTTGACGGTTGGTTTGTGAGATTCAAGCAAGAAATTGAAGAAAAAAGTTGGAGGTTTTTCTCTTCTTTTCCAACAAGAAGTTCGGCCAAGAGGATGAAAATTTTCATGAATTTTTGGTCAATTTTTGGGTATTTAGTAAAGGTGGTAAGATGGTCAAAGTCCAAGGTCCAATGAAAACGCGACACCTAGCATCTCTTTTGGCTTATAATTATCCTTTTGTCTCTCCACCACTAATCCAACTACATATCCTCTAATTACCTCATAACACCTAGTAAATTAATCTCAGAATACTAAACTTAACCTAATCGGCCGAATTTTATCGAACTTTCCGCACTTGCGGTCCCACATCCAGTATACACTCTTAAACCCTCATGAACTAACTTATACTAAAAAAAATAATTTAAAAACTATATTTACTCATAAAAATTCTCAGAATATTTCATATAAATAAGAAAATACAGAAATTATACGCAAAAGACTAAAATAAATGCCTAGAAAATAAGAAAATTTTGGGCTCTCACACTCTCTCCCCCTTAAAAGAATTTCGTCCTCGAAATTTCTCACCTGATTCATTAAATAGCTCAGTGTATCTCTTTCTCATATCGTCTTCCATCTCCCAGGTCGCCTCTTCAACTCCGTGGTTCTTCCACAGGATTTTCACCAAAGGAATTTGTTTGCTCCTCAGCTCCTTCACCTTTCGATCTAGTAAATGTACAGGTTTCTCCTCATAGGTAAGGGTTTCATCGATCTCAATCTCCTTTGGTTGCACAATATGAGTCGGGTCAGGGTAGTATTTCTTAAGCATTGACATGTGGAAGACATCGTGTATTCAAGACAAGCTTGGCGGCAACTCAAGCCGGTATGCAACTTTCCCAACTCGTTGGAGTATCGTATAAGGTCCTACGAATCTTGGTTGAAGTTTCTTTCCTCTATCCATCGTAACACTTCGTAGTGGTGTGATTTTAAGAAAAATATAATCTCCAACTTCAAACTCCAAGTCTTTTCTTTGGTTGTCCGCATAGCTCTTTTGGCAACTTTGAGCAGTTTGGAGTCTCTGACGAATCAACTTGACCTTTTCTTGGACATCCTCTATCCACGGAATAACTGTTGGGTCCAAGACCTTCTTTTCTCCTATCTCATCCCAGTATAACGGAGATCGACACTTTCGTCCATAAAGAGCCTTATACGGTGTCATTTGAATCGATGAATGGTAACTGTTGTTGTAGGCGAATTCCACTAATGTCATATGTTGGCCCCAACTACCTCCGAAGTCGAAAACACAAGTTCTTAACATATCTTCAAGAGTTTGAATCGTTCGCTCCGACTGCCCATCTGTTTGAGGGTGATAAGTGGTACTTAGGTTCAGTTTATTTCCCAAGGTCTCCTGAAACTTTTGCCAGAACCTTGACACAAAACAAGGGTCTCGGTCGGAAACTATACTTACAGGGACCCCATGTAATCTCACAATCTCCTCCATATACACCCGAGCCAACTTATCCATGGAATACTTCATATTCACAGGTACAAAGTGAGCCGATTTGGTTAACTGATCGACGATCACCCAAACAGCATCATGCCCTTTTTGTGTTCTAGGCAAACCGGAAACGAAGTCCATGGTAATGTTCTCCCAATTCCATTCAGGTATCTCAAGAGGTTGTAGTAATCCAGAAGGTTTTTGGTGTTCAGCCTTAACCTGCTGGCAGACTAGACAAGTTTGTACATATTGAGCAATCTCCCTCTTCATCTTATCCCACCAATATAACTGTCGTAGGTCCTGATACATCTTAGTACTACTCGGATGGATGGTGTATTTCGATCGATGAGCTTTATCCAGAATCTCTCTCCTCAAATTCTCATCCTCAGGCACTACTATTCTATTTCTAAATCTCAAAATTCCCTCAGGACTTAAATTCAAATCAGAAATTTCCCCCTTTTTCACTTTTTCCACCCACTTCTGAACCATCGGATCTGTAGTTTGGGCCTCCTTGATTCTACTCAACAGGGCGGATGTCACCCGAATATTTCCAAAGGTGATATTCTTACTTTCCATTTTAGAATTCCATTCACCAATAGCTTCTAACATTTTCCACTCTTTAACTATTAACCCAGATATTCGAGCCTTCCTGCTTGAGGCATCAGCTACTACGTTAGCCTTACCCGGATGGTAGTTGATCGTGCAATCATAATCTTCTAAGAATTCCATCCAATGACGTTGTCTCATATTCAACTCCTTTTGGGAAAAGAGGTACTTAAGGCTCTTGTGATCGGAATAAACCTCAAAGGTTACTCTATACAGGTAGTGTCTCCATTTTTTCAGAGCAAAGACAACCGCGGCTAACTCCAAATCATGAGTGGGATAGTTTTGCTCGTGGGTCTTCAATTTCCTAGAGGCAAAGGCTATCACGTTCTTATTTTGCATGAATACACACCCTAAGCCTTCCTTCGAAGCATCAGTATACACAGTGAAACTATCTTTACCATTAGGCAAGACCAGGACAGGAGCCATAGTTAACATTTTCTTCAACTCCAGAAAGCTCTGCTCACATCGGGCATCCCACAGAAACCGACTATCTTTCTTTGTCAAATTGGTTAAAGGACTGGCAAATTTTGAGAAATCCTTAATAAATCGCCGATAGTAACCTGCCAATCCTAAGAAACTTCGAATCTCAGTCGGACTCTCAGGCCTCTTCCACTTGGTCACTGCTTCCACCTTTGCCGGATCTATTGCAATCCCCTCCTTCGAAATTACATGCCCCAAGAAGGAAACCTTCTCCAGCCAAAACTCACACTTACTAAATTTGGCATATAATTGGTGATCCCTTAGGGTTTGTAAAACTAACTTCAGGTGCTACACATGCTCCTCTCGGGTTTTCGAGTATACCAAAATGTCATCAATAAACACAACGACAAATTGGTCCAAATAGGGTTTGAAAACTCGATGCATCAAGTCCATAAAAGCGGCAGGGGCATTGGTTAGTCCAAAGGGCATAACGGCAAATTCAAAATGCCCATACCGAGAATTGAAAGCAGTTTTAGGCACATCTTCTTTTCGGATCAATAATTGGTAGTACCCCTGTCGAAAGTCCAATTTTGAAAAGACCACTGCGCCTTGTAACTGGTCAAACAGCTCATCAATGTGGGGTAGTGGGTACTTATTCTTAATGGTTACGTTGTTCAACCCCCGGTAATCAACACACAATCTCAGGGTCCTGTCCTTCTTTTTAACAAAGAGAACGGGTGCTCCCCAAGGAGATCCACTCTCACGAATAAAACTCCGCACCAAAAGGTCTTGCAACTGCAGTTTCAGCTCCTTAAGTTCAGCAGGTGCCATACGGTATAGGGTCTTAGAGATAGGTGAAGTCCCTGATAACAAGTTAATCTCAAATTCTATTTCTCTTCGCGGTGGTAGATTTACTAGCTCATCGGGAAACACATCCGGATATTCGCCCACTACTGGAACATCTTCTACGTTTAACTTATCAGTGGGAGTGTTGATGAGAAAGGCTAAGAACGCTTGAGCCCCTCTACTCAATAGTTTCCTAACCCGAATACCCGAAATCATCGCAGACGAGACTAAACTGCCCCTCACATCTAATCTTAAGGTTGCCTTCCCTGGTATACGAAATTCCACTACTTTCCTTTTACGGTCAAGTTGGGCATCATACCTAGCTAACCAGTCCATGCCCAATATCACATCGTACCCCTTAATAGCCAAACTTATCAAATTCCCCAGTAACTTCCTCTCTCCTACCCAGATTTCACAGTTTACATATATTTTGCTAGTAACCAAACACTGGTCTCCCGTAGGCGTACTTACTTCTAATTCATATGGCAGGTTTACTGGAGTTATATCAATACCACATATGAATTCGGGGTTAACAAAGGAATGGGTGGCACCAGGATCTATTAAAATCCTAACTAGACGGTAGAATACAAGAATCGTACCTTCCACCACCTCCGCCGAATCAGGGACAGGACGTTGCTCAATAGAGTACACTCGAGCAGGCGCCTTCGATTTCGTCACTTCCACCTTTGATTGCACTGAAGTCGCCTTAGAAGATTGCGTGGTCCCTCTCACCTCTCAGGGTTGAACTGGACAGCTGGCTATCCGGTGCTCCGTACTCCCACAGCGTAAGCACTTCTTCTCCTTTCTCCAGCAGTTATCCTCCGTGTGGTTCGGCTTCACACAGAACCCACACGGGCCACGAGAAACAGTGGCGGAGCTTCCTTGTGAGGCACTCCTCTGTTGGCTTCGTCCCGTCTAGCCACCCCTTGGCGGAGTCCCTCTCGCCGCCCCAGAAAATCGTCCTCCTCCAGTTCCCCTTCCCAATTTGGAAGGGGTACTCTTATCCCCCTGAGTAGAACTACCTCCAGAAAATCCACGTTTTCTAGTTTGAAAATTCCGAACTTGAAGCCTTGCGTTCTCGGCCCATAAAGCCTTATCCACAACATCACTAAAGGTGTTAATTTGGGTCACGGCCAAGTCTTTTTGAATTTCCACGTTTAACCCTTGAATAAAACATCGTACCCTTCTTTGTTCAGTCATAATAAGTTCAGGGGCAAACTTGGCTAATCGGGTAAACTGGCTTTCGTATTCAGCCACGGACTGGGTGCCCTGGCGAAGTCGGATGAACTCGTCCTCCTTATTTTCTTGGATCAAGGGCGAAAAGTACTTGGCGTTAAATTCTCTTACAAAGTTCACCCACGTACTGGGTGTCTGCTCCCTCTCCCACTTGGTCCGAATAACATTCCACCAGGAGCGAACGGCCCCTTCTAATTGAAAGACCACAAAAGCAACCTGCCTCTCTTCGGAGTAATATAAGGCTGCAAAGATGTCCACCATCTTCTTCAACCATCTTTCAGCCATATCGGGATCGGGCCCTCCAAGGAACTTTGGTGGGGAGAACTTTTGGAACCTTTCTAGAGCTCGATCCTCACTTTCTACGTGATTCCCAGGGTTTCCGGGATTCCCGACAGATGGGTTAGGGTTGTGGCCCTGCTGTTGCATCACATGGGCCAGTAAGTCGGTCATTTACTACATAGCGGCAGCTATCTGGACATTCGGATCTACCCTAGGTTCAGGGTTTGGTCCAGTCGAAGTTTCCGCGGTGCCTCTATCAGAAGGTTGCCTACTTCCACGTCCACGGCCTCGTTCACTACGAGTGCCCTCCATGGTCCAAATCAATTTAAGGTCAAGACACGTAATAACAATTAAAGAACCATACGGGCATAAGCTTATAAACATAGGCAAATAATCAAAATAACACACAAAACATATATACACATAGAACATTTACACATACAACACATAACTGTTTCAGACAGTCATACAAAAGCAGTCGGTCAAGTACATACATACAAAGTAATCCCATGAAACTGAAAGGGGTTCTCCAAAAGACACTATACAAAACTGAGCCAAAATACAAAACTGCTAACAGATAACTTGTCCTAGGTACCCCTCACATGGGATCAAAATACGACCTAGGGAACTCTAGCCTAGTTCCCAACTGAGCCAACCGACTCCTCCCCAGAGCTAGAGCTAGAGCTAGGGGCGCATCCCTCACCTGGAGCTCCATCACCCGGAACGCCCCCTGGCACATTAGCTCCAATCACTCCTTGGATTAGCGCCTCGCACTCGTTAATAATACCGCCTGAACGTTCCCTCACTTCCCTAATCATGTTCGTAAGACGAGTATTAACCTCTTGCAACTGCTCCCTAAAAGCATTTGTTCGCTCCTGCTCCAGGGCTAACTCCTCGCGAAGCTCTCCAATCCTATCCGCTTGCATCCTTGTGATGCCTCTTAGCCTAAGTATCTCAATGTAATCCCTCGCGGCAGCACTCCTAAGCCTCCTCCTCTCATCTAGCACTGCCAAGACCACATGGTCAGCATAAGAATAATACTGGCAACGCCTACAGCGGCGGGTCCGGCTGGCAGTGTACCAAAGCCGGATCGGACCTCCCGGCCTCTCCTGGTAATCGATAACTCGTGGCCGCCTCTGAGATGGCTCACCTCCACCCTGTCCACTCGTACCGGCTATAACCTACAAAGATAGCAAAAGAATTCATATCTTAGACAAAATAAACATAATCGCACTTAACGGTACCTTAACACTTCACTCACAGGTCCTAAGGAACCAAAGTCAAACTCGCCTAAGTCAATACTAACCTAGGCTCTGATACCACATGTGACAGTCCCACCTTCCCCTAGGGCGTACCAAAGGGGTTAGCGGGCTGCCTGCCCAACTCTCGCCAGGACTACGAAGACGGTCGTATATACTCTAACATGTTTCGGCAATTTTTAGCGCGCTCAAGCGATTTAAAACCCGCAAAATGGGAATCGAAATTTGAAATCGCAAATGAATAGTGACCGCCACATCACTATCCAACCAGAATCCAATCAAATGTAGATGTTACCATACACCTTAGAGAAACATTCCCAAACCAAATAGGATACATGAACAGGGTTTAACAGTGTTATACACATACATTTGTAATTTACAACTCAAAGTACATATAGGGTTTTTCCAACCATCGAGGAGCTTTACAAAAGAATAGGTCCAAACTATATGAAAACTAGCTCAACTCGTGCTTCAAAACAATATAGTTCCCTCAAAAGTTATTCATATCCCTGTAAGGAAAACAAAGTAACGAGGGTAAGCTTACGCTCGTGAGGTACCAATAAGACACACCAATAAACACATTTTATCACATAGTGATTTCAAAGCACATAAACAAAAGAAGTCAATGAAAGGATACAATTGGCTCTCAAGAGCCACTTTCCACTGGCCGCATTTGATCTCCAACCCGTCGACACTCCGTCAACCTTTGAAGAGAAGAATATCCCGTAGATCCCCACTTTACTCCATATCCCTTCCACCGGTCACCCCCTTACCGGGCCCGAACACCTCACAGTAACAGAAAGGGTAATACTCGAGTATACCATAAGGTCGAGGAGTTAACACTCCACTCGACTGCAGTGAACCCAAGGTCCCTTATCGATTCGCCCAAGCCCTTGCCGGCTCGATTCAATTAAAGATCAATGGGGTATGAGCTCAGATAGCACAATTAAGTTGTCGGGCAAAGCCCTCAGCCATGTCAAATCACACATGTAGACAATTTCACATTTGACACTAACAGTAATACAAATAAGAGACCGAGAGCGATAAAGTACACTCTCGTCTCATTCAAGCCATTCAAGTTCACATGACAAGTATACACATTCATTTAAGCATTAGACCATATAATGGTACACTCACCAAGGTAAGTAAGCAAATTCACAAGTTAGCTTCAGGCGTAGGCGTCGGATCACGGGCACGACCTATACAACAAGAATATCCCAATTAAGACTCAAATACGAGTCAAATCAATCCACACACTACCAAAGAAATAAGGTCCAAAAGAATGTATAAATACGTAACCAAGCTAGGGACATGTGTGGAAATGAAATTTAAGTTGAAAAGCAAAAGACAGTTTTGATGTTACTTAGCGGAACGGTCACAACTAGAGCTACACTTATCGGTTTGGGGTACAAGTTACACTGTTTCGAAGCTAAGAGAAGGTGCTACAATGTTGAAGAAGGCCACTCAGTCCAGTTTGCAATGTATCTAGGTCAAATTTACCAAAACAACCCCAGATTTTTCAGTTTGCAACTTACTGTGAAATTCAACGAGCAGTCCTGATTCATTCAATCATATCTCAGCACATACAACTCCAATTCAAGTGATTCCAAATCCATCTGAAAGCTAATATACCAGGATATAATTCTTATGAAGACATGAACAACCAAATTAGTAGTATTCCTAGTCAAACTAGCCAATTACAGAAGCTGATTATCAGGTTCGGACAGAAACAGAGCAGCAGGGGTATTTCGGTCTTTTCATAGGCTACATTGCTCCGATTGGGCTGAAATTTTGTAGGCAACTATAAAACATCATTCTATATGTAGACACCAAATTTTTGGTGTTTTATTATTTATTTATTTACCATTCGTTTTTTATTTGTTCTAATTTTTATTTCTCACAATTAGTTTTATTTACTTTTAGTTTTAGTTATTTTAGCCATTTTAGCGTAGAATTTCTCAAAGAAAAAATGAAAAGAGAAAAAATGAAAAATTGAAAAATTGAAAAATGAAAAAAAAAGAAAAAAGAGAAAAACGAGAAAAACGATGAAAATGAAAAATGAAAAAAAGGGAAAATTGGATTTGCATTTTGTTGTTTCTTATGTTAATTAAATTGTTTTTGTTTTTAACTTTTATTATTTTCAATTTTGTTATTTAAGTTTAAAAAAAAAAATGATAAGCGACTTGCAAGCTGCGTTTTTCGCAGCTTGCAAGGAAGGGCTTTGGGCAGCCCTTGGCTGCAAATACAGAAGAAGTGGCTGGGTGTTTAGGGTTGGTTTGGCTCCCATATAAATAGAAAATGAAAAACCTGGCCGAAAGGGGGGGAGCAAGCTGACGGCTGAGAAAAAAAAAAAGAAAACTAGAGGGAGCAGGGAGAGTTTGGGGGGCTAAGGAAAGAAAGCAAAAGGAGACGGCTGGAGGTAAGGGAAAACAGAGAAAACGGACTGAGGGAAAAGCTAAGGGGAAGAAACAGAGGGGTTTGACGGAAGAAAAAGGAAAACAGGGGAGCTTCATCTGGCGGGCGGCGCAACAAGGAGGTTGGAATAGAAAACTATCGAGCTACAAAGGAGCCAAGGGTTGAGAAACCAAGAGAGGCTGATGGGCGGCTGATTAGGAGGAAGAAGGAGAGCATACAGAGAGAGAGAGGTGGCGGCTGCAAAATCTGGAAAACGGCAAAAGAAAGAAACAGAGGTGGAGGAACGGCAAAACAAAAAGGAAAAGACTGGGTCTTTGGGGGCTGAGTGAGGAAAAAACAGAAAAAGGAAAGCTACGGGGGACTTGGGGGGATGACGGCTGGGTTGATGAACGGGTAGAAATCTGGGGACAGAGAGAGAGGAGATCGTGGCTAAGAAGGAGAGTGGTAAGAGTGACGGCTGAGCATTGGAGAGGGAATAATAACAGGAAGATTCTGGGCGAGAGAAAGGAGGAACTGAACCAGAAATTGAGCTAACTCCACCACCATTACCACCACTGCAGCCCCAAGTCACGAAGTCCCTGCTGCACCCCCACCGTGACACATTTTGTATGGGATAAGGGTCAATTTCACAGACATTTCCAGGTATTCATAACCCTTATTTCTGCTGTTTTAAAGCATTTCATTGTAAAGGTTGGACTCCATCCTGTGTGTGACTGCCGAACCATTGCTGGGTTATGATTTGGCCAGAGGTTATTATAGGACTTTGCTTTTCAACTGATGATGTAGTCCAGGGTTTGATGAATTTGATCTATTCAGTGTTCCGATGCTATGAGGAAAGATAAGATGCACTAATAAATCTGATTAGGATCCTGGGGTTATGCATGTCTATTACTTCCTTCATCTTGTTATTTTTGTTTGCTACTGTCGGGCATGTTCTTGACCTGGAAATTTTGTTATCATTCGTATGAGTTTATGGTGCTTGAATATAAAGGTTTTAGGTTGGAAAATAGGAGGAATCTTTGATATTCCTGTGGCCTGCTCTCATGTTTGCATTGCGCCTGAGTTTATGCATAAATTTCTGCTGCAACAAGCTAAGTTTGAGGCTCTCAGCTTGTTGCAGCAGCATGGGCAGATCCTGTCTCCATCCTTGGATTGCTGAGGTTTTGTTTCGTTTAAAATATTTGACTTGTTTGCCATTTGTTTGAGATGTCGTGAGAGTGTTTGGGAGCTTAGCAATAGAGGCCAGCATTTTTGTTTGGTCTGTGGTTGCCGAAAGAAAAGTTTTTGCTGCAGTTTCCTTCCCTTCTTTTGTTGTCGATCAAAAACCAGATTTGCCATCTTAATCCTGCAAACAAAATTTCATGTTTTGATTTGGGTCAATAATTTCTGGTTTGATGAATTTGTTTGTATGATGAAATGGATGTATTTGCTGCTGAAAATTGCTGAAGTTTTGGAAACAAAAGGGAGTAGCCTTTGTTTTTTTTAGTTTTTAGTTGC